TCGAATAAGGGCGTATCCGCTATTTATAGTAGATAACGGCTATACTAGCTAGCTAGTAATACGGTATTCTACCTAGGCGGCTATAGTTAGACTTCTCGAATAAGGTAGGCTAAGGGAGTAAGCTAGGATTAGAGGCTCCTTAGCGAGGGGATTATAGGCCGGCGTAGTATATAGCGCTTAGAAGTAGATAGTACCTAGTAAGGCCCCGCTTCTAGCTAGTATGCCTCGTTACTAGAGCTACTTAAAATAGCGGTATAAACCTCCGGATTAAGAGGCTTTAGTAGCGCTTCTTATATTTAAATAGTAATTATAGTAAAGGAGCAATTATTATATTTCCTTAATTATCTTTCTTTCCTTTACTTAATACTTCTCTTTATATCCCTTTAATATCTTAATTTATATAGAAAATCCTACTTAAAGAAGCTACCGATATCTTTATTACTACTAAGCTTTTTATTAGTTTTTCCCTTCTTTTTTAGCCGTTACTAATATATCTATCTTATCTCTCGCTCCTTTTATAAGAAACTATCGCTACTTTTACTTTCTTTCTTACTCTTATCTTTCTTTTTATACCTTTTTTTAGCTCCTTTTTCTTTTTTCTCTACTAAGTATTTTAGCTTCCTTAGTCCCTCTTACTAAGTTAGCTTACCTAAAGTCTAGTATACCTTAATACTAGCACTCTTTATAATACTATTACGTTATTAAATATATTATATTATAACCGCGTTTTCTTATATATCTCTTACCCTATAATTATAAAATAAATACTATTTATATTAGCAATACCTTAGCTTTCTAAGTATACTAAAAACTAGCTTTAAAAAGTACTTAAAGCTATTAAAAACGGGATACCTTAGCTTTATACTAGTTAAAAGTAGGGTATTCTAAGAGGGACCCTCTATATATATCTTAAAGGGGCTCTACCTATTAAGAAGGTAAAAGAGGTATATTAAAGGCTTAGCTAAGAGTAGGAAAAACACCTTACTAACTAGGTTCTTACCTAGGCCGCCTTAAGCTACCTTTAATATATTATTAGGTTAAGGAATTCGCCGGCTATATTATTAAGTCTAGCGGTAATACCTATCTACTTATAAAGTAGTATATTTTAGGCCTTTTAGCCTAGAACCTAGAGATTAATACTATTAAAGGTAGATCTCTTAATTCTACTTATATTAACGGTGCCTCTATAGCCTATATCGAGGAATAGTTCTAATTACTTAAGCTACTAGCTATATAAGTAATCCTACTAAAGTCCTACTTTAATATAGATAAAACGGGTATCTTTAAGGGCCTCGGCTTTAATAGTCTAGTACTAGGGAGCTTAGAGAAGTAAGAGACTCTTAAAAAGCGGCTAGGATCGCGTTATTAAACTATAATAGTCGAATATATCTCTACTATAGGCTAGGCCTTAACTCCCTTTATAACCTTTAAGGGTTAAGACCTTTAATACTAATAGTTCCTTAACGAACTTAATTTTCTATAAGATTAGGACTTTACTGCCTCTCTAAAGGGCTAGATAAGTAATACTATCGCTATTTAGTAGATATAGTAGGTTTTTATCCCTTAAATAAGGCACTATAAGTAAGGCAATACTCTTCTTATTATTAATAGCTATAAGAGTTATTAGACTAATAATTTTATATATAAATACTTTTAAAATAGTATATATCTCCTTTTCCTACTATTATACTCTTTATATATCCTCTAACTACTTAATATCTTAGTTTTCTCGCTTATTAAGGCTATATACTAACGTTAACTTAAGAAAATTATATCTTTTAACGATATAGCGCTAATTAGTAAGGCTACCTTCCTTTATATCTACTATAAAGCTTAGTAGGCTAGCCTAACCGAGAGGAATATTAAAGGAGGTTAGCGTAGGTCTAGTTTATAGCTAATTAATATAGTAAAGCCCTTATTAAGCCGCTTTATCTTACTATAGCCGTTAACGCCGTTAACGCTATTAAAAAGGAAGAATATTAGCTCCTTAGCTAATAACGATGCCCTTAAAACGCTTAAACGATTATAAGAAGTTCGCCGCTTTATTATAGGGCTAGAAAATCGCGGTTAAGTTAACTATATAATCCGACTACTCTTTAGTAAAGTTAGCCGCGCCCTTAATAATTAAAATCAGTAGCTTATAGCTACTTAGCTTCGAATATAATAGCTTAAGCATTAATTATATTATCTATAGCCTCGAAAATAGAAAAAGGTTTTATAGGATCTTAATAGCCGGTTCGTATAGATTAATTAAGTTATTAAGACGAGGCAGCGGCTAAAGTATATCCTCGAGCTAGCTACTATTACTATAGCTAATTAAGATATAGATTTTAAAGCTCTATATAGTAGCTAGCAGCTAAAATAGCTAGAAAATACTATAATTAACTATCTTAACGTTAAAATATAGCTTTAATTACTATTAGAATATACCTACCTTAGTATTATAGAGAGTGCCGGTATTAAGGTATACCGGACTTTAAGTAGGCTAACTTAAGGGATATCTTTAAGAACTATAAAACTAAGCTATACTTTATAATATACCCCCTTAGCTATCTTAAGGTATATAAGTAATAACGGAATTACGTAAGCCTATATAATAAAAGGGAAGAAGGAGTATAAGGTAGAATTCTTAACGGAATTTATTAGTAGTATATTAGTATATAAAAGAGGTATTAAAGTTAATTATTCTATCTCTATTTACTAGCGGATATACTATCTTATATAGATAATTAAAGCTAAACGGAAGAACCTTTTTAAGCTAGATTTAGGCTACCGTAAAGCCCTAAGACTAAAGAATTTAGTAATACCTTAAGTATAGCTAGAAGAGTCTTAGTTTTACTAATACTTATATTTAATAGAGGGTAGTCGTGCCGGTATTCTTAAGAGGTCTTAGCTAGTATTCCAAGCTAGCTCTATTTCTTCGATTGCCGATTATACGATAACCGGTAACCCGTTTAATATATAATAATATATAAAATACCGAGCGATTCTTACTCTATAAGATAGGATTTTATTTATAATTAATATACTACTTATTAGCTTATATAATTAAGAGAGTATATTATAGCTGCTTTATTTATAGTAGGAAAATACTATTCCTTATAAGCTATAGCCTAACCTTATAGTAAGGGCATAGCTAATATAGCTTTAGGCTAGTAAGCGTATAAAGGAGGTTCTTAGCTTTATACTTATCCCTTTACTTAAGGAAAGTAAGGGCCCTTTTAAGTCCCTTAGCTCTTTTAGACTTACTTAAGGAATAGGGGCCTAAAGAAGGGAAAGTCCTATAAGAAAGGGGGCCTTCTTTATAGGGAGAAACCTAATTAAAATAGGGGGGCCCTTTAAAGGGAAAACCCTTTTCTTTCTTCTTTAGCTATAAACGTTACCTTCTTATATAGGCTATTAGCTTATTTTATAGACTCTTAAAGTAGGCCTCTAAGGATAGCTTCTTATAGACGTCTTCTAGCTTAATTTACTATAAAAAGATAGCTAGCTTTTAATTTAGTAAGGGCTTTATAAGACCGTTTACTTTTATCGATACTATTAAAACCTAATAGATAGAAATAAGTCCCCTTTAGACCTCTTAGTATAACTAATACTAATAGATATCGATATACTATAGCTAAGTTAATAGCTTACTATTTTCTATAAGAATTTATATAGTCTATATATTATTATATTCTATAAATAATAAGATCGGAATTTATAGTTATAGAGATATTAATAGCTAGCTAAGGAAGATCGCTTCTTTTAACGCTTCTAAAAGAGCTAGTAGCTTTACCTTTATACTTAAAGTTATAATAGTAGCTTACTTTAAAGCTCTCTAAGTAATAGTTCCTTTAAAAAGGGATATAATATACCCCTATAAGCTCTTTCTATTTAAGGAATTATCTATAAAGGACGAATCGCTTAAATAAAGGAAGATTTTTATAGCTATTTTCCTTTTCTACCCGCCTAGGCGTAAACTATATAATCTCGTTAAATAGAGATAAAGGAGAGCTCTATCTACTACTTCTTAGTGCCTAGGGCTAGGATTCTAGTTATATCTAGCTAGCTAGGAGACTATAAAAGAGATATTTAGTTTAATAGAAATAGCTAAAAAAAAGTAAGGAGCCTACCTTTTATTAGTATAGGTGTTTTTCTTACTCCTTAGCTTAATAGGACGGATTAAGTAAAAGCTCTTTATCTAATATAGGTATAAAGGGAAGCTTATTATTAAGGGAATTAAGGAGGAATTTATAAGCGACCTTATTAATATAGGCGTCCTAGGTAAGCTAGATAGTCTATTAGGACTTATTTTAAAGGGTTTAAATCCTTAGGAACTACTTTAGCTCCCTTAGCTTAGTTATCTTATACCTTTATTATAGGCCTTATATAGCCTCCCTAGTAGTTACTTCTTTCTCTTTTAAGTAGGCTTAGATAATATTATCGACGTAAAAAAAGACTATAATTTTACCCTTCTATATTATATATAGTTCCTAAGGGACTTTCTTAAAGCCTAGGGCTTTAAAGGAACCTATTAAATGCTATTACTAAAAAAAGGGTAATCTTTATAGTCTATATTAGACGAAGAAAAAAAGTGTACGAGAGCCTGGGCTTCCTGATGTTTGCAGATCAATGGCACGGCACCTACACGCTCTCTTCCGAGTGGTGAGGACCGGTTCCTGGCCAAAAGACAAGTCAAGGGCTTGCCAGCTCGCTAAGAAGAGTGCCGAGGCTGTTAAGGCCGAGATGAGGTAGCCTGGGTTTAGGTCGCCATTCTTATAGGTTAGCCTGAGCTTAACTTCCTTCCTGTTCCAAGACTTGGCTTATCACTATATGCTTTACACGGGGTTGACTAGATACAGCAAAATATATATTACCCAGCAAACATAAGGTACACGTGAATTCTACGCTGACTTTGCCGCTTGTATGTCAAAATGCCTAGTTGAAGTCGGTAATATACCTCTTGTACGATGTTTCCTGTCCAGGTCCAGCCGCTTGATTTGCAAATTTGGCTCTAATCACGATTTGCTCTCACCACCTTGAAGGGCAGCCCTAGCATCTATCCGCCATAATTTGGAGGGTCCGTACTTGGGAAATTCGTCTCGGTTGGCCGAAGGAGTAATCTGGACGTCCTCTAGCTTCACTTCAAGACTTGGAACCGAGTCGACAGAGCTGCCATCCAGCTGCAGATTGGAAAGCATGAGTCAGTGTCTGCTGTACTTTGCTTGGAGACCAACAGCTTTGACTTACTTTGACGATCTTGACGGTTAGATCTGACTGAAGAAGGCCGGCTGTTGCGTCATTTGACATGGCCTTGACTTCGGCAGCCTGGACAATCTTGTCGAGCGGCAGGCCGGCCGACATGGAACCCCGTGCAGGCTGAGCCGCCACCACTATGCTCGACGCATGCTGGCCACGCACGTAAACCTCGATCTGGCATGGCTTGGGCACGTGGGCGCGGTCGAAGCGGATACGGGCAAAGTACCGCCTCCTGCTCTGCTGTGGTTGTCTGCGCTGCAAGGCACCGGCGTTTGGCGCGTATAGGCTGTTGATGAGTCTTGTCGTGTCCTGCCTCATCTGCTCTTCAGATTTGGCCCAATACTCCAGTCCTGCGTACGAATAGCCAAAACCTCGGATGCTCCGTACCGAATTGGTCGTGAGAGCTCTACGGCCGCGGGCGAAGAAGGGCTCTAGGGGGGATCTCGGGGTGATAATGGTTCCTGACGGCGTCGTGAAGCGAGATGCTCCGGCGTACGGTTCTGAGAAGATGGCCTGATCAGGGCGCAATGCCTGCCAGTACGACCACAGCCGGTCGACGTTGGAATGGTGAAGCATGCTTGAGGGTTCTGTGTCAGCCCCAGTTTGTCGTTACCGCGCAAAGACATTCGGGCACAGATTCGGACTTACAAAAGCGGATCGAAGCCCGCCAAGTCTGGCATGACAAACTGCTGGCCGCACGCGGCGTCCCAGTGAATGCTATTATGAATGACCTCCAAGCTCACAATGGTATTGCTCTGTGTCGCAAAGTCGCTGAAGTTTGTCGCACGAGTAAAAACATCATACTATCATAGAAACTAGGGATCAGCAAACATTATGTCCAGGGCAACGGTCTGGATTCAACGAGGGGGGGTAGCGTTACTTACCACCCATTGCCGATACGGCCTTTGAGCCATCAAGCTGTTAGCCGACGCCGGATAGCTGCCGGGCGCAGGGCAGTGCAAAATCCGCGGCCGATCATCCGTGTCAAAGGTTCCATACTCGCCGCCCAAGACCGCCTGTGGAAGCTTGAACGTAGAAAGAGGGTTGTCGATTTGGCGTCTTTGCAGGCCTTGTCCGTTTGGATAATTGACAGTCACCCTGGCGGGGACTGTAGCTGAAGGGACTCCAGATCCGGCCGCCCAGTCCCAGTACGGCGAGCGTAGACTCTCAGCAGCCCGTATGTACTGCTGACGATATCTCGGAGGATATGTCTGAGCGATCCTCCTGGCGTGACTAACAAGGACTTGCTAAATGGGTTATGAGAAGCGTGCTCTTACAAGCCGGTTATGAGGTCGGGAGATTCGACTTACCTCAAAGAGAAGCACATAGGGGCGGTGCCAAGACAGAAAAAGTTGCTCCTATCGGAACAAGTTAGCCTGACTGGATAGCAAAGGAAGCCTGTCGTGACTTACGCCGTGGGGACAATATCCTCCCCAATCATCGTAGGCCGGCCCCCCCGTATTGTTCCACTCGATGTAAGGCCTTCCGTGAATGCCTTGCGCCTGTCAGTCAAAGCAAGACACGTGGCAGGAACCGTCGAGAATTACCCGAGATTTGAAAGTAAGATAACGTGTCGTGGTAGTTGACGCTTTGCATATCCGACAGAGCACGAAGATAGAGGTCCCTAGAAAGAACCGCCATGGCGTTAGATCGCCTCAAAACTGCATTCTTCTGGGGGCAAGACTACGTGAATACCATTGAGGGCCCCCTGCGGCCTGGAGGTCGTTGATGTTCATTCTCAACGGGACGCCAGGAGCGTTTTGCGGGACAGGTGCGCCGGTAATGGGGTAGGGATCTGCGGCAAACACAAGCGATGCCGTCCCGAGGCCCACGAGGGCCGTCAGCGTTTTGGCTAACATGGTGGATGGGAGATATTGATGTTCAGATGCTGAGCAGTAGAGTGACCCGGGTCATGACGCTCGTCGGTATTTAAGAAAAAACGGCGAAGCATTCTCGTACCTAAGAAAACCATCACCCCCCCCGGTCTAGCTGCTCGGGTACCGGCAGGCGGGCGTTCAGAAGAAGCAATTCCACCTCGTGTTTTGACTACCCCGTCCCGAGTCGGAGCTAAACTCGTATTCGGGCAAACAAACGGGGAAATATATGCAGGGCCAATCGTACAGCTTCTTATCCCTATGTCCTGCTGCTTCACTTTCAGGTTGAATCTCGATATTATGTAATTGTATATAATTTTTTAAGATATTAATCGCCCTGCCCAGAGACGCCCGGGGGATTGGAGAGATATTGCCGCCGACGGTTAAGTCGGCGCGGGAAAACGGCTAGCAAGTCTTAAAAAGTAAGCAGGTGCCTACACATTTGGGAAAGAGCCACAGGATACAGGGGCTCACGCTTACAACAGACGGCGAGAAAGCGGCATATTCAGCCCCTGCATGCGGCTAACGCCGAACATGCCTTAGGGCTGCAGTGGGAGGAAGTACAGCATGTCATTGCGGTATTGCTTTAAGGTACGAGGCATCTTGCACCCTAGTATTCAGCTCGAATGCCGTAAGACTATAATTTCCTTCTATTTTTATAAGTAACCAGAGTGCCGGATCGGAATACCAGGGGGTTGTCAGACGGAAAGAACTAATAAATTGAATAACAATGTATTGTCAGAACATGTTCCATTTCTTGCTTGGGATGCGCAGTTTAACAACGTCCAACATGCAAACCATACACGAGTATTCTAGCTTGTCTAAGGGAAATGTAAACCATGTTAGCCCAGCTCATCAAGCCTACTTGCCTCCACCATATCCACATCGGTTGTCCCAGAATACACATATTAGAATTCTTCCTCCGGAAACCGTCCGGGGTCCTTGTTGAAAACATTATCCGAGTCTGCGGGCTGAAGTCTGCTCAAAGCACCCTCAGAGTTCGGAACTTGAGAGTCTCTGTTGAACGAGTTCACTTCGCTAGAGTCCTGGGCACCCCTACCCGGAGGCCCTGCCGCCGTCCGGGAGCGGGCTGCGGGGAACCGTCAATCTCGTCATCAACTCCATTCCCACCCGGAGGTCCTTTGGGCACTCTTCCTGGGCGTCCCCCTGTCTGGCCATCGGGACCCCCTGGTTCGGAAACTGAGGCGGTGCCTGCTTGTCGTTGTTATTGTTAATACGGATTCTGTTCCTCTCAGGCTCTGGAAATCCCCCAAATGGCGGCTTTCATTCTGACCCCCTTTTTAGTTCGTGCTCTCCTGTGGTAAGGTTCCACTCTGAGGCCCGGCAGGCGGCCCCGATGAAGGTCTTCCATCATGTCCTCTCTGGTTGGTGTTCCCCTCTTTAGTCCCTTGCTTGACCTTTGCCTCCGTTTCTACCACTATTCACTGGAGTCTCGTTCACGCTTCGAGGTCCGCTGAGCGCATCAGATCGCGGGTTTCTGATCTTCCCCTGGCCTTGGCTTCCCTTGTTCCCGCTGTTCACCTGAGTTCTGTTCCCACTCTGGGGCTTTATGGGTGTCCTGGGCAGGGAGTTTCCCCCGTTAAATGGGATTGAGTTTCCGTTCAGGGCCCTGTCTGGTGTTCTGAGGTAGGCTTTCCGTTCGAAGGGCCCTTGGTGCTGTTCCCCTGGACTTTGTTGCCATTCCTGGGCCCAAAGCCTGCCCCTGGATCGATCCGGACCCGGACCCCGATCCAGTCTCTCCTCCGTTTCCAAAGTCCTTTTCATCACGGTCTAGGCAAGCGAAATGAACGAAAAGGGCAAAGGTCTTGGCATTTTCCAGATGCTGTTGAGCAGAGACATCTTTGACGGCTGCCAGTCCATAGAACTGTCCTGGTCTGTCGTCTTGCCCAGCACACGGGTCATCTCGTGAATCACCACACCAGCGGGGTCCAGGTTGGCGCAGCCCTGAGACCGCGCGAGATCATTTCCTTATAGGAAGCCGCCAAAAAGGTCAACGCGTAGGTTTTGAGTCGTCGCCTGGACCCCTGTGGCGCACTCCTCTGCAATCTGCTTGTATATATCTGCGCCTGTGTTAATTAGCCGGCACACAGGTTTGGCTAACCGGCACACATAAAAATGGGTAGTGTGGCTGGTCAAGGCGCAGCGCCGATACCGCACAATTAGGTGCGCACATTCCCCGCCTCTACGTGCACCCAACGCCTTCGTGCAAAGTGAAGCTATTCGCACCAACGGGCACCAAGGCAGGCGTAGGCTGCTTACGTAATTCTGCACATTCGGGCTCGAGGCTTGAAGATGCGTTATTTCGTCGAATTGAGCCCTGCCTGCCTGAAAGCGCGTCTGTTCGCCGTCATTTTGACGAAGAGTTTCAACAACCGCGAGATGCCATTTGCAGATATCCCCTCGGCTTTGCGAGCTATGCCGGCGCAAACATCGAGGGACTTGAGACTTTGAAATGGGGCAGAAAAGAAGGACGAGCCTGGCGCAACACCGGAGATGGCCGGTCTGGAGAATATTTAGCGGAATTGCACTGCATGCGCTGCTTGTTCATCGTCACCATGGAGGCTGGAACGTCGCCCTCTTGTATCTAGTCAAAAGTTTTGCTGTAGATCCGCTGTCTCCAGATAAAGTGAACGGGTGACGTTTATATGGAGCTGCATACGACTCGGCGTTTCATGTTCGCAGAGGCCCTTGGATCTCAAGTCCAGCCCTTGTCCTGACAAGCACAACAAGAGCTCAGCTGAGCTTGCCAGTATTCAGAGGCAGGCAAGCTGGAGAAGGATTGACAACGGTATGATTCGCGCATGGCTTCATTGCGGGACCTTTGACTCGTTTTCGACTGCTTTTACGGTTTACGGGTGCTTTTGGCACCGACTTGAGCTCGGGTAGACATTTTATACTCCCGAACACTTGCTACTGTTTAGTCCGACTGCCTTACGGTGATGTGGGACTTAAGTGCTCAACCATCGAGTTATAAAATGGTCGTGAGGCCTGAGGTAAGCCGAAAAAGGAATAAATAGTAGATTGCTATTACTAGTTATTAGGTCTTTATATTAAAGAAAGAGGGTGTAGATTGCGCTTTCCTGCCTAAAAGAGGGAGTCCGCGGGTATAACTATATATATATATATAAAGTACGGGGGAGAATAGGTTTCCCTACTAATCTAGTAACTTATAGTTACCTAGATCTATTAAGTAACTTCCTTAGTATCCTACTAACTAGCTACTATATATAGTGCTTCTAGATATAGCAATAGTATTATCTCTGCTTCTAAGGATAAGGGGCACGCCTATTATTACGTATAAGCGTAAGCCTAACCTTTAATAGCTATATATTAGTCTATAAACTAACTTTTTATTTATTTCGACCGATTTTCTAACCTTTATCCTATGCCTATAAAAGACGGTTCTTATAGAGCCTTTATAGTAAGCTAGCTTTTTAAGCATTTTTTTATATTATTACTTATATATAGCCTCTAAGGCTATAGCGAGGCTAATAAGGGCCTAGGCCCTTATTAGTAGTCCTAGCTAGCTATAGAGCCCGGGGGCTTATAATTTATTAAGGAAAGGGTAGCTATAAAGGTAAAGATAAAGGAAAGGTTAGTTTAGTTCTTCCCGCGCGGTGTTTTCTCCTTTAAGGGCCCTAAGGCCCTTAGGTTACTCCTTCTCTAGCTACTTAGCCGTTCCTATCTTTATTTTAGCTAAGAATATTAAAAGGGCTTCCCCTCCTTCCTTAGAGCTATAGAGAAAAGGTAGGCTAAGGGCCTTTTTTTATCTCTTAAAGGCCTAATAAAGGACCTCTCTTTCCCTCCTATAGTTTAGGTACCTTAGGATAAGGTGCTTAGCTATATATTTTCCTTAGCCGTAGTAGTAGTCGTCTCGGGCTACCTTATTAGTCCTTTTTAAGAAGGAAAATAAGAAGCTAGCCTAAAAGAGGAGATAGTAAAAAGCTAAAAGGGTTAGCCTAAGCCTCCTTATAAGGTCCTTTTCTATACTAAAGGCTAGGCGGGGGGTCTTTTAAATAGATATATAGTACTATAAGCGCTACTCTTATATAGAGCGCCTTAAGGGTCTATACTATCTATTATCTAATTTCCTTAGTAAGAGCTATAGTATATTCCTTATTATAGCTAATATAAGTAGTATAGGGCTAGTCCTTATAGCGCTTTTTTAATATTAATAGGGCTTAATATAGCTTAAGGCCCTTAGGTTAAAGCCTAAGTTAGTAAGGTTATCTTATATAGCTAGGTTATATTCTTACCTTATAAGGTAACTAAGTAAGAAGTATAGGGTTTAAAGGGTATAAGAAAGGCATACCTTTTTAAATTATACCTTTAGTAGTAGTAAGGACGCTTTAGCTTTTAAGGCCTTAATAAGTATTACGACCACGGTTAGCGGGCCGTAAGAGAGCCGGCCACGTTCACGTAATAAGGCGGCTCGGAACAATGGTCGGGACGAGAAGTCACTTAGGCTTAGCTTACCTAGAGCGTATATAAGCTAAGTAAGCCTTATATAGATAGATTACTACTTAGGAGCATAGCTTACGAGTAAGCTATAGTAAGCTACGAAGGGGATTATAGCTAGGACCGTGATCTAAGGATAGTCTCTATAAGTATATATAGCTACCTACTTTTACTCCTTTAGATAGATAGCTCTCTAGCTTTTAATATAGATCTTTATTACGATTCTATCTCTAATTCTAATTACCTAGTTATAGTCTATAGTCTACGACCTCTAACTTATTACTAACGTAATATACTTATTATTGCTTAGACCACGCCCTATTATATCTACTAATATAAACCCCTTAATAGGTTTATCCCTTAGGAATAATACTAGTCGTTATAATAAGGGATCCTTTAAAGGCCTTTAAGACCTTAAAAAGAGCTTAGTTTTAAAGCTATTAAGAAGGCTTTATAAGGCTTTTAAAGGTCTTAGGCCCTATATACTACCGCTAGGCCCTATAGTT